TTGACTAACGTTAAGATTAGAAAACTATTACGTATTAAAATTTTTTTGTTAGTATACCAAGATAGGTTTAGACTGTCGTTTTCTATGGTTTTCATATTTTTCATATGATTGTTGTAATCTGCATAATTCTGTATAATGTTGGCCATCTTCGGAAATTTTGTACTGCACTAGGCTGCCGTAAATTTTGCATATCAATCTTCTGATTAGTGCATACATGAAAGGGGTTTTCCGATAGATAATCATGTATTAAATTGGTTCTTTCACGTATCAGTGTCCCAATTACGTATATTTGTTAGGCAACAGGACACTAGGCTTGGCTTATATGTAACAGTAACCGCGAGTCATAATTTACAGTTACTGCTTATACGTAAACATCAATAAGGTCATTGTATATCATATATTGAACAATCTTGTGCTGCTATTAGGTCTTTATAATTAACTAATGCTTTTGTGAACATATCAACTTTTATGCTATGGGCATGATAGTTAATATTATTGACATCAAATATAACCAATATTAATTTAAAAACTTTTAACAAATTAGTGTTTTGTTTTGATTATGAAGAATTTTCTTTTCTATCTTTTTTATTTAAATAAAGCATTACCATATATTAAACACTAAACAATTATTAATGTAAAATATTTTGCAAGATATATTACTGTATTAAACTTCTGGATTAATATTCATGCTTATTGAATTTTAAATCTTTAATATTAATTAGATTTCTACAGAAATTCTGTGGAAACTTGAAAGCAGTCGAATACTCTAATAAATGTTATACATCTCCATTATTTAATGACCGCTTAACACGGTTGTATTATTAATTTACTAACGGTTTTATTTACCTAGTTTTCAATTTTGAAAATTAAAAAGTTTAAATATAGCATACCTTTATTACAGAAATGAATAATAAAAAAATATGTCAACATAAGTATGTTTAATTACTTATGTGATAGATAAGATATTAAATCAACTTTAGAGTTGAATTTTTTTCTTTAATTACTGGTCCATTTACGTTAATTTTGGCTTTACTAAATCACACCAGAGATGTTTTAGCTCATAGTTTCTATGTCTAAAATATGGTTAGGTTAATGCTCTAAACGAAATATTTTTGGTTTAAATACCCATCTTAATTTTACCTTTTAATCTTATTCTACATTGTGCTGAGCACCACTGGGTTGATTTAAAGTATTGTTTAATTTTAAGCAGTCAAAATAAATACTATATTCTTTTTTATTAATATGAAAAGGTTTATTAAAAGTTTACAATTATAATACATGAGAAAGTTATTTAAGCCAAAGTATTATAAATGTTAGCATGTTATAATTAGTACCTGAAATTAATAAAATTTTATCGGAAATTGATTAACTATATTAAATTACAACTCCAAACTTAATTAAACTCAAACCCCTGAAACTAGATCTTCTTGCATGCATTAGTCGGGAAACTTCGAAAATGATTGTAATAATTTTTTTACTAAACATGTTGCTGTTGGGGTCTTTTTTATAACTTAGGCCTTATCATTTATCATTGGGGAGGAAGCAGCATGCATACACATATATGCAATAGTTCAACTCTGATAAATATATGCATGCATTTGATTACCATGAATTTATTTTTTTAGTATTTACTTAGAGCATGGCTTTTTGCACTTGCGTTATAGTACGTAATTACGTACCTTATCAGTTATGATATCTTCGAATATATGAATCTTATATTGTTGTCTTACAGCACTATACATTATTTGACTATTTGTTATGCATATGATTGTAGCTTAGTTACAAAGCATAGAAAATTACGTCCGATAGATTTTTATTATAACTGATAAAGCACAATTGGGATGTAATTAGCGACATAACAATTTGAATCTATGCTTATAGACATAATGCTACGTAACAAGTTCTTAACAGCATCTTAACAATTAGTCTAAGTATGATGAAATCTTAATATTATAATAACACTTTCAAAATTTGTTAATTGGGATCAAATCGTATACGTACATAGGTGGTCTAACCTATTTCTAGAAATAAAGATTTTTTAATTAAATTTAACATATCGATATTACGTAAATATCAATAGTAACAATTTTCTATGCATTATAATATTGCATTACTTAAACCCATTTATATACAAGTAATTTGTATAATTGAGATTTAAATCGAATTTAGCGCTGCTTTAAAGTCAAAATACTAAGTAACGAAAGTACAGAAGTAACGATTAAACAAAATCAATTTGCTATAAAGTTAATTAACTAATTAGAATTACTGTATATAATAAAATATGTCAAAAAAAAAAGAATGGGAAAATGATATAAATAATCTCATTTCTCAACACTAGAGATTTCTATTTTTTTACTAATTCATAGATACTATGACAACAATTAGACTATTATAATACGTATTTAAACCATGATTATACAATCATTTCCGATTTGTTTTGATTTTCAACATCCTGTCCTTATCGTTATGTCTCTAACGTAATGTCCTTTGGACAATTATAATTTCATTGTTGTTATTTTTAATCATGTTTGGGCTAAGGTTCTTTTGTAATAACCATACGTAGTAGATAAGCAATGGTAATTATTTTAAGAATCAAAATTCGGTCAAAAGAAAAAATTACAAATTAATTTGAATACCATGTATAAATATATATATATATATAGCTTTATTAGAACTTCTTTCGCGTTTATTGTGTAAAACAATTTGATTTAACTCTTGAACACACAATAAAGCCAAATCGATCGAATCTATGACAAAAAAAGATTTGACATTTCTAACTTTAATTTAAGCTTTAGGTCTTCAATTTTTATTAATAGTTAATTGAAAATTCAGACAACACAAGATGACCATAATAAGAATCATATTAAAATTCAAAACTAATAATAGTTTGACAAGGTTCATTGTGTAAACTTTGAATTTCACTCGGAAAATCCTAATTTTATGTGTTAAACATTAATAGTTATAAATATTCGGAGATTTTGAATAACTTTCTTTTTTTTTCGGACATATGATATGCGTAATGCAATTAAAAACCTGGTTTATATTTGTCTACTCAAAGTTGATTTTTTGAAAAAAAAAAACTTTTTCGAAAAAGAAATTTCCAATTTATTTAGAAAATTTAATCCAATAGAAAAAAAGGGTTGTAAATGCTTCAATGGGTCATAACCGTATATGCTACGCACCATTGAGAACTCAAAAAGAAATATTTCTTTTTTAAAAAATAATTTAAATCGAGGTAATTAATAATAAATAAAAATAAATATTGTACGTATTATATACGTATGTACTCTTCATATTTTATTACTGTATTAACTAAAAAAAGTCTGGTCTGGTTTAAAAGTTATCTTATTTTGTTGTTTTTATTTTATTTATTTGATACAGTAATACGTAAAAACAGTACTGTACTGTGAAATTTCCTGTTTCGAAAAATTCTTATCTATAAGATCGAGTGTAACACAATGTCTAAAATGCTTTGTTATTTTTTTAAGTTTTCTATAGGAATTTCCTTATTTATAAATGAAACGCCAATCATTTGTCACACTGCATAACAATGGCGTGCTCCGGACAATTGACAATTCAACGATATAAGCATACGTATAAGCTAACCTTCTCCTGTTCTCACAACGTAAACCTAAGAAACCAACCTCTCATAAAAGAGGGTTGGGCTGTTATAAACTTAACCCGCTAAAGAAAAACCATTGAAAAAGCCACAACCGAAAGAAAAAGCCACAAACGGAAGCACGAAAAAAGAAGAGATACGTATTAGGAACAATCAAAGAGAAGATTGACAATAAAGGAGATTGGCAATTGAAAATAATTATTAACAATTAGTGAAGATTGACAGTTGAAAATAATTATATCAAGAGGCTCATGAACTACTTCTACATCTATAACGGTAAACATATCGGGAACGAAGTTGATTGATAGCCATGCAGAATTCTACTTGCCAACTTAAAGATTATTATTCCAGGTTTACCTTGGAAATACAAATAAACATTTTCGTGAATACCAAGTATCCAAAAAATTTGTTATTGGCAAATAAAGCTTGGTACAAGGTCTCTAAACAAAGCGATGTCAGAGCCAAGTGGATAATCGTTCATTTCGGTAAAGCGCATGCGTTATTCCATACAATTCGCTTGGGCCCAAAGTTTGTTAATGTAGATGTAATTAAGAAAGTTATCGAGATGGGAGGAATATTATCTCGATATTTCATTCAACGATTCTTACTATCCTTTGGCTCTTACGATCCGAAATTGATCGAAATGAAGATCGAGCACAATGTTGGAAATATAGATAGAGAGCAGATACGTAAGGTGCAACAAAGAAGTGCTGTTCCTTGGGGAAGCGACACTCCACTTGATGTGTTCACATATCTTTTACTCGAAGCATCAATGAGATTAAATCCTTCTGATAAATCCATTCCTTATATTGACTTGGCCGTTAAAGGAAACGATATGGAATCATTTCATTTTCAAAGTGGTGGACCATATGCGATTAATCAAGCTAAACAAAAACTTCAAGATAATTTAAAGTCGATTGAGGAGTTAATCTTAAATTGGAACTTTATCCCTTTTCCTCCAAGGCCTAAGAATAGACATTACGAAGGTAAAAACTTGGAAGAATATCCAGCGAAGGATGGTTATGAAAACTATAGACAGCTAAATATAATTGCTCGTGCAATACTGATCAATGAAGACCTGGTTAAAACTTGGAAAAAAATTGGTTATCACGAAATTGTGGATGACGTCAACGATCTTGTCATTCAAGGAAAATTATTATTATTGTTCCCTCCAACTCCAGGAAAGGACTATAAAATGCCGGATGTTAAAGAAATAACCAAAAATTTACAAAAATTACTAGATTTGGGGTTTAAACCAACAAACGCGGTTATTCTTGATATTTTACAACTTTTTGAAAATAGATTGGATGTTATTGGCAAAAGAATTATTAATTCATTCATTTTAGTTCGTAAAAACGAAAATCTTTATGACTTTTACAAGATGCTTGTCGTAGAAGCCATTAAACCAGAAAGAATTGTTAAAAAAACTGAAGTTTTAAACTTTTTAGATAAAATCTTTCAAAATGAAAGTGGAAAAATTTTCAGTGATGCGATGGAATTAATCAGAGAAAATAATGCTATTGATGGTATAAAAGATTCAAATCATGTTAATAATACTAATCAAAATGAAAATAACATTCAATCTGAAAATGATCATAATTCCGTTAAATTCAATGTTCCCTATAAACCCCTATCGTATAATCTAATATTTTATAATTGGATTTTGATTAAATTCCAAGAAAATTCAAATATTGCGCTCCAAGAAAATTCAAATATTGCGCAATTGGCATTTAACAATATTTTAGAAACAAGAATAAGTCTTGAACTTAATCAAAATTCTTCAAAGTCATTCGAAATTAAATTTATAGAAACTAGTAATATTTTTAAGGTTTATTGTAATGTTAAGAATTTCTTTTTAATTCCCCATCTTGAACTCCTTAAGAAAGTTTCCCACGAAGATATTCTTGGTCCTTTATTTGAATTTTATTTACCTGATTTATTTGGTCTTCCAACCACTTTCAAAATTCCTATGGAAATAACAGATGATTCAAATATCTATTTTAAGCCAAAAAGAAAAAGGAAAAAACGGATAATGTTAAAGGAAGAAAAATTAGAATGGCTTACGGCTATTAAAAAAATCCATGATAATATTGTAAAGGAAGGTAATTCTGTTATAATGACAAATGAATTTAGAAATTGTATTGAAGACCTTTATTATAAATTGGAAGATGAAGGAATGTTTCAAAGAGTAGAAATGTTGAGATTAGAAACTTTTAAAAACAATAATACGAAAAAATATAAAACAGATAAGAATCAAAAGAAAAATGATTTTTATGAAGATACCGCAACTGATGACAAGGAATTATGTATATATAACTTATATGATTATGAAATATATGAATAAACAACTTTTTTTTTGTCATGATTTTAGTAAGCTCAAGCTAACAAACGAAATCCAGGAATCTAGAAAGCAACTAAAGTCATTCTGAATATCTGGATTTCGTTTACAGCTTGTTTATGGAATGTTTTGTTTTTTTTCAATTCTTTTGATCATTTACTGCGCATATTTAAATCAATCTGTATATTTTTTCATTTTCATTATAGAATTATTATTTATTTATGCATGGTACGAAGGGTATAGTTAAAATGGTAAAAATAAAAATAAAGCGCACCTCAATTAAATGTGTGGAAAGTAACCGTGGATCTGCGGATGCTGAGGGAGAATCTTTTATAAATTATAATCTGACTTTTAAAAACATTGGCATTCTGTAAGCTTACATATTATAACATATTAGTCCTTTTTATATATATTTATTTATTTAAAGTTCATGTATCATTTAATTATTATTAAAGTTTTATGAATTATTTATTTGTTTATTTTTATCTAACAGGAAATATATAATATTTAAAAATATATACTATTGGTCAATTATCATAGCATGTTGATTTTATCAAATTTTTTATTTAAACAGTACTAATCTTAATTCTAATGATAAAAGTAACCGTATTTAATATATCACAAAGAATCCTTTTTGCAAAAAAAGAGACATAAATATGGTAAGTTTAATTGAATATAATGTTAATAATTGTTGCTACTGAAGTTGAAAGCGGCTGAAGCTTTTTTTTGTAGTTAAATTAGGATTTAGGGTTAGTTTTGATAATAAAAGTATATGTGAAGTATATGTGTGGATTTTGGTAGGTCTCATATTATCATACCAAGGTCCCTAATTTCCAGCCTCAACCATTTCCAGCGACAATTATTATTTCTTAAGTTACATAGTTATATATGCTGTGTTAATAAAATCAACATATTAGGTTATTAGAGTTACAAAACATTGCAAAACACTGCAGTTACATTTTTGTGACATTATTTAATCAATATTTAAAAAGTTTGACCACTCAGACTTTTTATATCACTATGCATCTTTTGCACAGCAAATATAACTTAAAATTTTATTGTTATTACCATATATCTAATCTGCTATATAAATAAAACATAATTTAATAGTTAAAGTCGTAATTCTGCATATTGAACTTATTAACGTTATAATAGCTAAAATTGCAAGGTTATTATTTCGAATCATTAAAATCTAATAATTGACTAGTGTATATAGCTTTAGGATGAATAGCTCGATGCCTGAAAATTATATGCTTAGAATTTAATTTTCTTTTGTCTTCTGCATTGTTAAATTGTACTGAAATTGTTGATGTACTATTATGATTGATTGTTGTCATCCAATTTCTTAAAATTTTATTTATTTCTGTAACTTTTGGACGATTGTTTGGATCTTGATCCCAGCATTTTTTCATTAGTGTTATATATACTTCCGGAGCGCCGTCAATTATGTCTGGTCGCAATCCGTTACATATTCTAGTTAAAAGGTCAAGATCATGAGAAATTTTGCTAAAGGGGCGTAAACATGCAGACAATGTCCACATAATAATTCCAAAACTATATATATCTGAAGCCTGGGTGTATTCATTTCCATCTAATACTTCTGGTGCAACATAAGGCAAGACTCCATAAATATCGGATGCAGTCCTGTCTGCTGGTCCATGTAATCCAATGTCGGCAATTCTTGCGATAATAAACTCTGGATTATCTTCAAATAACAAATTGCCTCCATGTAGATTACCATGATATAATTCATTCTCATGGATTCGTTCAAGACCATCTGCAACTCTTAAAAGAATTTCTATTATGTCTCTCCAGCGAAGAACTTCCATATTTTCGTCAAGATATTGATATAAATTTCTTTCATAAAATTTCATAATAAGCATATAACAACCAGTTGGGTCACGTGAAATCCCAAAGTAATCTGCTAAAGGCCCGCCTCTAAGACATATATTATGTTTCATAACCTAGAGAAAATATAGAACATTAAATTAATAATTAGTATTGTCTATTATATTTTGATAGATAAAACTCACATTATCTAGATAATATTGACTGATTTGTTGAGAATTTTCAATCCTTTTCAATACACATTTAGTTGGACCATCTCTAAACCAGTCATCCTCAATCCAATTCCGTCTAGGACCATCGATCCAATATCCAGAATATATGGTACTAAAAGCACCTTGTGATAAATATTTAACTGCTTCAAAATTTTCAAACGGGATCCACTCTAGATAATCATCACTTCTGTTTGCTTCAAGTTGAGTTTGTTGTATTATTCGATCTATGCTTATGTTACCACTAGTCCACCTTCTAAATTCTCGTTTGAAAGCTTGATTTTGGCATGTTGAACACCAATGAAAATCACTATAGGATTTTCCACATTCATCACATTTACCATAATAATCTAGTTGAACTATGCTTTTAGCATATGCGATTGATGGATCTGGTGAGGACACCATTCCTATTCAAAGATAGTAAATTTTTTATAGGGAGAGTTTTGGTATTTACACTATATGATAAGAAGTGCAATATCACATATCGAGCTGATCAATCCGTGAGAACAATCCGTTAGAAAGTCTTATAAACCATTTTATATATAATTTTTTTTTTACGCCCAATAAATTAATCATGGAAGGATTATTATTATTTTTTTTTCTTCATCACAATAAAATGTGTCATAATTGAACAATTTGTGACACAATCCATCAT